CCTCTCATAAATCTCATAAAAAAAAAAAATACAAAAATTACAAAAAAATTACAAAAAAAATACAAAGCTGGGCGTGGTGGCAGGTGCCTGTAATCCCAGCTACTCAGGAGGCTGAGGCAGGAGAATTACTTGAACCCAGGAGGCAGAGGTTGCAGTGAGCCAAGATTGCCCTATTGCACTCCAGCCTGAGTGACAGAACAAGACTTCATCTTAAACAGACAAACAAAAAAGTCAATGACAAATGAATTAAAGAATTCGCTGTGAAAAGCAAAACCTCAAAACTTTTAAAAGATGATACAAGAGAATATATTTCTAATCTGGGAAAGGCAAGATTTCTGCTGTTAACAAGACACAAAATGTACTAATTACAAGAGAAAAGATTTTTTTTTTTTTTTTTTTTTTTTTTTTTTTTTTGAGACGGAGTTTCGCCCTTGTTGCCCAGGCTGGAGTGCAATGGCGCGATCTCGGCTCACCGCAACCTCCGCCTCCTGGGTTCAGGCAATTCTCCTGCCTCAGCCTCCTGAGTAGCTGGGATGACAGGCACGTGCCACCATGCCCAGCTAATTTTTTGTATTTTTAGTAGAGACGGGGTTTCACCATGTTGACCCGGATGGTCTCGATCTCTCGACCTCATGATCCACCCGCCTCGGCCTCCCAAAGTGCTGGGATTACAGGCTTGAGCCACCGCGCCCGGCAAGAGAAAAGATTTTAAAACTCATTAAAAATATCAAATCTGGCTGGGCATGGTGGCTCACACCTGTAATCCTAGCACTTTGGGAGGCTGAGAGGGGAGGATCACCTGAGATCAGGAGTTCAAGACCAGCCTGGCCAGCGTGGTGAAACCCCATCTCTACTAAAAATACAAAAATTAGCCAGGCATAGTGGTGCACACCTGTAAATCCCAGCTACTCAGGAGGCTGAGGCAGGAGAATCGCTTGAACCTAGGAGGTAGAGGTTGCAGTGGCTGAGATTGTACCACTGTATTCCAGCCTGGATGACAGAGCAAGATATATATAACAAATCTACTCATTAAAAGGATACCAGAAATAAAAAAGGAAAACCCATAGAGTGGGAGAAGACACTTAAAACACGAAGTAGAAAAAAGAACTCCTGTAATTCAACAAGAAACAATCCAAAAGAAAATAGGCAAAAAACATCAACAGTAATTTCAAAGAAGAAATATAATGGCAGACAGACACATGAAAAGATCCACGATCTTATCAGCAATTAGGAAAATCAAATTAAGAGTACAGTGAGAAACTATTTCATACTAAATAACTGGCAAAACTTAAAAATCTGACAATATTAAGTGTTAGAAGACTGAAAATGAAAACCGTATTATTTTAAGTAGTATCTTTTAGTACAACTACTTTGTAAAACAGTATGGTATTGCCTAAAAAAGCTAAAGATGAACAGACCTCTACAACCCAATTCCATTCCTATGAAGTATATCAGGAGAAATGTATGAGAATCGTCATGGCTGTACTGCTTATAGTAGCCAAAAACAAAAATGGAAGCAACCTAAATATCTACAGCAGAATGAATAAATTATAGCATCTTCACATATCAGAATACAACACAGCAGTAAAACAGAATTGTCATTAGATGTATGCATCAATATGGCTGAATCATAAAAACAACACTGAATAAAAACCACATCACAGAAAATTACATTCAGTGAGGTTCCATTCATAAAAAGGTTAAAACACCTTTAACAGATGCATATGTAACCCCAATATCTAAATTCAGGATAGTAGTAACATCTGGGGGAATGATGTAATCGTGCAAGAAAACGCAGGAAACGTAAAAGGTATAGGGAATTTATACAGACAAGGTGTGATTGTGCCTATTTCCCCATAATCTCACCAACATAGTTATTTTATTAAATTTTTCAAACTCTTTCAATCTGACAGGTGAAAAATGGTAACTGAATATAATTTCAATTTGCACTATTATTATAAGATTGATCAAGTCCAATTTTAGAGTGCTTTGTATATCATCTGGTATGAATTATTAGTATTTTCTCTACTAGGTCATTCTTTTTCTGATTTCTAGCTCACATATAATACAAAAAAAACTATTTTGTCTCCTTTATAAATGACAATTACATTTTCCCAGTGCATTTTTTTTTAAAACGGTATTTAAAATATTGACCAATGGGAGTACAGCTATTCATTTAATTATTTTCTTTAAAATGTATGTTATTACTCTTTTATATTATAAGAATAAAACAAATTTACTCAGTAAAAGAAAGTCTTCCACTGACATGGTCCATAAATGGACTAAGTAATCCTTGGAAGAAAGCCAGAAATTTTCAAAATTAGTGAGGTCCTACATATTTTTATGATCTGGGACATCAATTTTTATTGCTCAAGGACAACTTGTTAGCCCATATGTCGGATAAAGCATTGCCTTATACCTTAGGACATTAATTCTAAATTATTTAAAAATAACTGTATAAGAATTGCTTTTAATTATGCCTTTTCTTCATAAAATTAATATATTTTTATTTTTCTAAATGATTTCACAGAACACTTCCAACTTACTAGATTGGTCATGCCATATCTGTGCCTATAGTTTTAAAATCGGCCTTCTTATCCTAATTCCTCAAATAACCTCGCTCCAAAAATCTCAAAATAAAATTTCTAAAAATTAGCTTGTTGGACCAGCATGACCCAAATCATTACTAAAAAAAAATTTCAGTATCTGAATTTCAAAGGAAGAAAAGGAAATAGAGAAAAAAAAATCTTTTGGTTTTAAAATAAAATGTCTCAAAAGCAGCTCATTCTCATTGTTTCTTTTAATTATATTATAGTGCTATTTAAAATGTTCCATTCCATTTTCTCTTTTTTTGGACACGAAGTACCGTAATATGGCTAATAAGACTGATTTTGAAATTCTTTCAAATTTTACCTTCCCAAGAATATAAAACTAATATTCTTGAGTAACACTGTAGCCCTTCAATTGCTTTAAAAGCCATTCCTACTATTACCATTTAAACTTTTTTTAAAAGGAAGAGATCCGGTTTTCTGGATCACCTTGGAAAGTGGGACTGACAAAAAACTAAAGAGATTCTCAAAGAAATTTAGAGAAGGACTACATATAGGTACCCACCATATAACAAACTGAAGTTTAATAAAAAAGAATTTATCGAAAGGCATGAACAAAGCTAAATTACAGTTGGTAAAGCAGAGCCGCTGTCTGACTTGATAGATTTTAATGAATGTGAATCAGTTAGACAAAAGGCCACTAGCATTGGAGGCAAGCCAAAGACAATAGTTTGGAAAACTACCATTTTAACTAAAAAAAAAAAAAAGAAAGAAAGAAAAAAAAAAGAATGAAGGACTAAGGAGATAATATTCAAAATTACTCACTCAGTTGCTATTTAGTACAAATTTTCTGGAAACATGCTTGTATATGAGAAAATATGAAATAGAGTTATGAAACAGTAAGAAATACTAATAGCTGCTTTTTCAGGAATGTTGACTAATACAAAGGATAAGTCCACTGGGTTCAATAGTAAGTTATTCCTTTGTCATTGACATGGTTTCTATCAATATAAGGAAGAAGAAAATAGGTGCTACTGAGGAACAGATTTGCCCCTACTCCAATTCTAGCTGAATGGCTACTTCAACTACATAAGAATAAGATTGAGCATTAAGAAAATGAGGTGAAATGTCTCAACAGTACAACTTCAAATGCCTTGGGTTAATCCTCAATCCTCAGGAAAATATTTTAGATATAAGTATTCTCCTTCTCTACCTCACATGTGATTTAAAAAAATCAATAAAGTCCTACAGAGAAACTATAAACACAAGATTCAGACCATTCATATAACTATGTAATTTATGAAACAGAATAAGAAACCTAGTATCATTTCTGTTATTTTAACCAATAATATCAGCATTCTTTCTATTCTTATTCAAATTTCATTCTTAATGCTCCACTATATGAGAAGCAAATGCAGGCAGAACATTTTCATGGAGACTAAAATAGTTTTTTAAAAGAAGGAAAATAAAATCTATGAAAATGTATACAAGGCTTTGATTGGTTTATTCCTCATGAACACAGAAGAAAATATTTAATACAATATATTTGTATTTGGTCCTATTAATTCATAAACTCTTATATGCTGTGCCATGAGAGAAAATTATACAAATTTCAATGTTTCTACGATTTGAGTATGCCTTTCAACCCAGATTGAGAAAGGCAGAGAAGCATGCATTTTGGATTAACACATGCAACTTAGAATAATAAAACTTATGAGGTATAGCTAATTTTACTATTGTAATATTTTATCTCCTACAATCACATCAAAGCTATTTTATCTGCTATGTCAAAAGCTAAAGGTAAGACATTGTGGCTGAGGTTTGAATTATTATTATGTAAAGTAATCCACCTTTTTTAAAAATTTGAGACAGAATTTCCCTATTGTTGCCCAGGCTGGAGTGCAATGGCATGATCTCCGCTCACCACAACCTCCGCTTCCTGGGTTCAAGTGATTCTCTTGCCTCAGCCTCCAGAGTAGCTGGGATTACAGGCATGCACCACCACGCCTGGCTAATTTTGTATTTTTAGTAGAGACAGGGTTTCTCCATGTTGGTCAGGCTGTTCTCCAACTCCTGACCTCAATGATCCACCCACCTCGACCTCCCAAATTTCCAGGATCACAGGTGTGAGCCAGTGCACCCAGCCTAGTAATTCCCCCACACTTTTTTTAAAGTGTTAATTTAAAATCTCTTCTAAGAAATTTCAGTTTTATAGAAAATTAAAGGTAAGATACAAAAACAGCCAAAAAATTTTCCCCATACAAGTTTGTTAAAATGATGGCACATACTGAAAATCTTCAAGTTCAATTTGATAAACAAAGAACTACTTCTCTTTCAAGAGTAAGTACACATAGTCACATGCACAAAATCATACTAAAATCTGACCTTTTTAAAGAACAAAATGGTCTTTAAAAGACTCAGACATCTCAAAACTGTTTAAAAATCACTTACCTTTCAAACCTAGAGTTTGTAGCTGGAAGAGCCGACCAAGTTCATAAGGCAAAACCCGTAACAGATTGTTATTTAAAAGCAATTCCCTGTTTAAAACAAAAATTTAGTTTAATATACTAAGCTTTATTAACATCTGTATTTGCCATTCTTAAGGCTCCTTCCAACATAACATGAGTGATTGTTTATATTCAAGGCACATTTCTATGTGATCATCCAAAAACATTGTACAATATTAAAGTACTACAAAATGTGTAATTGCCACAATTGTTAACAATGTTTCTATTTCTATGATTTATTCATTCTCTAGCTCGCATTAAAGTTGGAAGTGTAGGAACTGCGTATCATTCTCAGGCTAAATCTAATCTTTTTCTTTTTTTATATATTTGTCATTTTTATCATTTAATATTGTATTTATTTTATTTTAGGTTCTGGGGTACATGTGCAGGTCATGCAGGGTTGCTGCTTAGGTGCATATTATATCCAGCATTTCTCCCCATGTTATCCCTCCCCAACCTTCCCCCACCACCCACCCCACTATACCTCCCCTAGCCCCCGCCCCAACTGCCCCAAGTGTGTGATGCTCCTCTCCCCAAGTCCACATGTTCTCATTTTTTAACTCAAAATGCCTATCAAATGCAAATGTGACCATATCCTTAGTATTTCAACAACAGATATCCTTGAACCTAGTCTTATCAATAAAGTACAAATTTTTAGACAAATTTCAGGAACAAACTGTAATTAGTAGCCAATCACCTGTATCTTTTTTTTAAGTAACTGAGTACTCTTCTAATTTTATCAAAATACTAAGAAAACAAACCAAAAAATAAAAATAAAGAGATTAATAAGGAAAAACAAGTGGAGTATATTAAAGTAAGACAAAAGAAAATGGAAAAGATAAAAAAATACTATGATGGACAATCACTGACCTGAAACATAAATATTAAAATAAAGCATAGATAGTACAGACAAGAATAGGATAGCATAAATAAGATCTAACTTTATGACTGTGAAATTTTGAGCAGACTATAGAAAAAAATAGCACCCTCATTAATGGATGACCAAAAGTAAAAAAAGCAAGTAAAGGATAGTGAAGAACAAGATTTTAAAACAATATGTTTAATTTCAAACATGTGATAGCCATTTTAAAAATTATTACTTAACAGATAAGATAGAAAACAACTCTTGTTTTCATTGGAAACATTCAGATAAGATCTTAAGATTCTTGCAAAATTTGTTTAGAATTTCTTTAGGGAATTTTTAAAGAATCCCTAAAAATTAGAAATCAAACCATTTCATTGGGCTTTAAGGTTTCCTTAAGGAGTTGTATTATGAAACATAAATATACTTTGACTTATGTAATAAAGACAAGTTCTTAGAAGTTGTACTTATCAGCAAATCATCACTGTTCAATTATTTCTGATTAGTCTTATCAGATTGAATAATGAGACTTACTATTTTAGCCCTACCCCACCTCAAGTCTGTCAAGGAAACTAGTAATAAAAGCACATTCTAATTCAGGAACCTCCAAATTTAAAGAAAGGAAAAGAAATGTTCAAACGGAGGCCAACTCAAGCACTATACTCAGAGAGTCTATATAATTCGATCATTACAATACACAGAAATCCTACTGTAAGATGACTAATATACCTTAATTTTCTTAAATTTAGAAATTTATATAGCGAGTCATGTCTGTATTACTTCCTCACCTGAGAGACACCATGTTTCCTAGTTCTGCTGGTAAACTTCTGAGTTTATTGGATGACAGATCCAGGTAAACCAGATTATGAAGCTTGGCAATATCAGGTGGAATGCGACTAAGGTAATTGTCATTTAGGTGCAGCGCTGTCAAGTGTGTCAACGACCAAAGTGATGTACTTAGGCTCCGCACTCTACCTAAAAGGTAAAATACTGAAGCATAAAACCCAGGCCCAAGATGACACCTAAACTACAAGGACTAAAAAGTGATTAAAGAGAGGCTGCAAATACACACAAATATTGTTATATCTGACATTTTAATTTTCTATTTAATGCCATTTGATTTCTTCCAAACATACCTGGCCCTCCTTTAATTTTGCCACTTTCACCTGACAACCACACTTTCTCATGAACCTTCCAAGTATTAAATGAGAAGTGGCAAAAGGTGGAAACCCTTGGAGTTTAACTGAGTAGTTCTCAACCAGAGGCAATTTTGTTTTCCCAAACGATTTTGGAACACCTGGAGACATTTTTGGTTGCCACAACTAAAGGGGTACTTCTGCTGTCTAGTGAGTAGAGGCCAGGAATGCTACGAAACATCCTACAATGCACACAGCAGCCCTGAACTACTATCTGACTCAAAGTGTCAGTAGTGCCAAGGTTAAGAAACCCTAGATTAACCTAGTAAGATCGGCTCATATTCATTCTTTTGACTACCAATTGCCCATCCACCCAGTTACCTTTTAGGTAAATGTGCAAGTAATTCTTGCCATTGACATTACAATGTGGGGTTTAACTCTTCCAAATGAATGCCTACTGGGGAAACAATGGCATTTTATATATAATCTGTATTATACCGATTCAAAAAAGAAAAATAATACTTATATTCTATTTTTAATAAACTTTTAATTTTGTAATAATTTTAGATTTACAGAAAAGTTACCAAAATAACACACAGAGTTCCTATATACCCCTCCTTCAGTTTCTCTAATATTAGAATCTTACATTACCATGCTACATTTGTCAAAACTAGGAAACCAACACTGGTGCATTACTATTAACTAAATTCTAGACCTTATTTGGATTTCACCAGTTTTTATACCTTTCTGCTTCAGATTCAACACAGGCTACCTTTTTCATTCAGTTATGTCTACTTAGTCTCCTCTGGTCTGTGACAGTTTCAGCCTTAACTTGTTTTACTCATGACAATTTTGAGTATTAATCAAGTCAGTTATGTTGCACAAGGTCCTTCAGTTTGAGTTTGTCTGATGTTTTTCTCATTATTAGACTGGAAGTATGAGTTTTTAGGAATCATATTGTATTTTACCAAATCCTAAACAAGTATTAAGGTGATGTAACGCAGTTATTATATATTTATTAGAATAAATAGATAGCTTCCAGGTTTTCTTCTTTGCCAACACTGAGATAGGAGGATGCAAAGATTTCAATTTGCAAAAATAATTACTCTGAAATAGCCTAAATAAAATCTACTATATCGAAGAACCTGGTTTTATTTAGCAACAACTCCCAATATCCTCAATTCCAGATGCCTGCTCACTGTAATTAATCTCAAAGAGTGGAAACAAAGATATTCAGTCACACATAAAATAGATAAATTAAACACTAGTATCTGAACTTCTTGTAGCTTTTCAACTAGTCCATCAAATTAAGAATGTACAACAAAAATATAGCAATAGTCAACTTTTTTATTATCACTGTTACATGCCAGATTAAATGCTTCAGATTCCACTCACCCGAGATTTCTAATTCTGCCCAGTGAGATTTTTTCCCATTGGCTACCTCCTCTGCTGACATGATGGTATAAATTCTGCGAGGATCTGGAGGATCATATTTTTCCTTTGGCATCCCTATTAGTCTGTTTAAAAAAAAAAAGGTCAACAATTATTATAGTGTTACTTTAAAAAAAGAGAAAACAGGATGGTAAACTTTTTCTCTCCCAATGCCAGTCTAATAAAGTCATTTTATACTACAAATTCTCACAGTAAAGAAAACACACACATTATATGCAGTATGCTAGGATCTTGTAGAACTCATTATCAGATGCCTAAGGGAAAATGCAAATAAGCAACATCACTGGACTCTGCAATGAACACTATGGTTGCTTCCTAACCCCTTCCCTTCGTTTAGCTGTACTGCTTTCCCACACAGCAGCTTCCTGAATGGACTCTGACTAGTCTAAGAGAATCAGGTAATTCTATCCTCCTTTCCTCAGTGACATTCAGATACCCCATGCCTAAGACAATCAGCATGTTCACATTCCCCTTGCCACAGAGATTTAGTTCAGTAGTATCTAATAATCACAAAACCTCAAAACTCATTTTCTACGTTTATGGGAAAGACAGGCTTCTCTCTCCTGCTGGTCATAAACAAAGAAGAATACAGCCCAAATTGCTGTTGGCAGCCATGGAACAACCATGAGGAAAGTCAGCCATGAAAGGAAGAGTCTGGAAAACAGAAAAACAAAGCCAGCATCCTCACTGAATCACACCTGTAGCATATCCAAACACTGGCCTTTTATGATACACAAGCCAATACAGTTCCCTTATTGTTTAAGCTAGTTTTGAGTTGTGTTTTCCGTTACTTGTAATCGAAAGTATCCTAATTAGTCTGAGTACATATCTTAGTTTGCCTGGGTCAGTCTTGGTTTATACCTGCTGTTCTGAAGAAATTATTATCATCCCTTTTCATGCTCAAAAGAGTCCAATGTAGATGAATTACATGGACACCCTAATCAAAACTAGTATAGTCATGGGTCGTTTAACAAAGATACACTTGGACGGGTGGCACGGTGGCTCACGCCTGTAATCCCAGCACTTCAGGAGGCTGAGGCAGGCGGATCGGGGGGTCAGGAGTTCGAGACCATTCTGGCCAATGTGAAACCCCATCTCTAATAAAAATTACAAAAATTAGCCAGGTGTGGCGGTGCAAGCCTATCGTCCCTGGTACTCAGGAGGCTGAGGCAGGAGAATCACTGGAACTCAGGAGGTGGAGGCTGCAGTGAGCCAAGATCATGCCACTGCACTCTAGCCTGCACAACAAAGCAAAGCTCCGCCTCAAAAAAAATAAATAAGACACACTCTGAGAAATGCATTGTTAGGCAATCCAAACGTTGTTATGCATCACATGACTATATTGTGCCATCTTCCTGCTGTAACTGCCAAAATAATTAACTGAACAATCATCAATGATGACTAGCTAGACATAAAACTCATCAAATGTGCTACATATGAAGTAGATGATAAATGTCTCTAAAAGTAACCTTACTGAAGGGGTCCAATATAAGTAGTACTACTTGGTAGTAGTCAGAAAATAAAATCTATTTCATATCTAATAAGAACAGCAAATGACACAACAGTCCTGAGCCTAAATTAAACTCCTGCGTACTTTCAATTAATTGCCACATAGTATTCATATTGGGTTCTTTGTTCATATTTTAACAAATATACACATACCCCAAAACCAAGTGTCTGAATCTGGAACTGTTTCCAAGTAAAGTTCAGAACTTATATTCCAAATGGAAGAGTTGCTTTCAGATCATCTGAAATTTCTTACATATAAAGATTAAAGAAAAAATATATTCTATCATGTATCAAGAAATCTAAAAGCTAGTTTATAAGAATACAATCAAAGTTTCCCATACTATCATTTTTTTTCACATTTCTAATAGTCATTCTTTTCCACTTACTTAAAGGAACAAAGAGAAAGTTTTCCATATCTGTTCATTTGTTAACAGTAATTAGTTTCCAAGTTTCCAGGTTAAGCTCTTCAACTCTAATCTTATCATACAATTTGGGTGATACTAAACCATATTTTATTTTCCATAAATGTCTTAGAACTTCATACAGCACAAAGAATATGACCATTTTCCACAGGAGAAAAATTAGATTTCTACCATATTCAGCCTACATGTAATACTTCTGAAAATAAAGTTTTTAGGTAACAAGGTTTTCAGAATTTCTGCTGTACACCAGAAGGCACATGTGTCTCTGTGGGTACTTTTGCATACTAATGTAAGTCTACAAAAAAATACAAGATTAAGCAAAGCCAAATCAAACTGATTCAGATCCAAAGACACAGACATACTACACGATCCTTTACCTACAATGAGAATGGGTAAAAAAAAAATCCCAAATTTGCAAAACCATAGGTTTCATTAATTTTAGTTTTTTATTATTTTATTTTATTTTTTTGAGACAAAGTCTCTCCTCATCGCCCAGGTTGGAGTACAGTGGAATAATCTCAACTCACTGCAACCTCCACCTCCAAGGTTCAAGTGATTCTCCTGGCTTAGCCTCCTGAGTAGCTGGGATTACCCTAAGCCTGGCTTTCTTTTTCTTTTCTTCCTCTCTTTCTCTCTCTCTCTCTCTCTCTCTCTCTCTCTCTCTCTCTCTCTCTCTCTTTCTCCTTCTCTCTCTCTTTATTTTTTGTATTCTTAGTAGAGATGAGGTTTTACCATGTTGGTCAGGCTGGTCTCAAACTCCCAACCTAGTGATCCACCTGCTTTGGCCTCCCAAAGTGCTAGGATTACAAGAGTGAGCCACTGTGCCTGGTCCAATTTTAGATCATTTTTATAAAACACAGGGCATAGAATTAGAAGGTAGTTTAATTTGTTTTAATCATGGCTCCCATTAGATGGTATGTTCCATGAGGGGAGTATGTTTCTGTGTGGAGGCATATCCTTTTTATAACTCTATACAGTTCCTGCCACATAGGAAGCACTTAACATGTATTTGTGCAATGATCAATGTTCATATGCTTTGTAATCCTAAAATCTGCCACCTTCCTCCCTCCTACTCATCTCACAGCCAAGTAACACCCAATGCTTTTCTAAGAATTGATATAAAGAAACGGTAATTCATCCACATGTTCAATTTTCCCAAATAGTTTTAAAATCTAGACAAAAGATTAATAATTACCATCTTTTCTGGTGCTCCAATTCTAATCTCCAAAATAGATACCATATAGAACTGTATTTCTATTTTTTAATTAATTCTTCATGTTTCAATCTAAGTCCATTAAAATTACAAAATCTCTTCCTTAATAATAAGCTCCATAAAACGTTTACCAATACCTACAATATGTAAAAACCAAGGTAAGATTAATATTGTCATATTAGGGGTCAGAGGTCTCTTTTGGATTTGATTAGGATGCCAATAAAAATACAAGAAATTTAATTCTTCAAAATGATTGAATCTAAAACATTTCTCATTTGAGTTAACTCAGTAATTTAGCGTAGTTCTGGCCATTACTGCCCCCTAAAAATCAGGCTTTCACTGTGCTATTAAAAGCAAGCAACCTGCCTGGGCATGGTGGCTCATGCCAGTAATTCTAGCACTTTGGGAGGCCGAAGCGGGGCCTCTCTAGCACTTGAGATTAGGAGTTCCAGACCAGCCTAGCCAATATGGTGAAACCACGTTTCCACTAAAAATACAAAAATTAGCCAGGCATGGTGGCCCACGTCTGTAATCCCAGCTACTCAGGAGGCTGAAGCATGGGAATCACTTTAACCCAGGAGTTGAAGGCTGCAGTGAACCGAGATCACCTCACCGTACTCCAACCTGTCTCAATCAGTCAGTCAATCAATAACTTAGAGAACTCAATTTCAGGAAATTAGCATTATTAAATCCTTCTGTTGAGCTTTATTTTCGCCTCTCAGGTCTTGGCATCAACTTTCCACCTTGTAGGCAGACCACAAAAATCTATTTCAAAATAACTTAAAATTATGAAATAAATTACTCAAATGTAACTTAAACCTCTAAATGTGACACTGATCATGTGGTTTCAAATAATCTGATATACAAGTCAGCACAAGGCTTAAATACTGAGTGATGAACATTTTTCAACCAAGAAACAGAAATGTTTTATTTGATGAAACCTAGCGCAGCTAATTTCTTAATTTCAAACTGATGAAGAGGCAGGTTTTTGAATTAGTTTTTCCAAAAGTTTCTAATTTATATAACTTACATAGACTCTCAAAAGATCCTCCCATTACATCAACCAAATTTATATAAGGAATCCTGATTACATAACAAAGTAAACTAAAAGCCTGTTAGCAATACCTTTCCAACTTTGCAGTCTTTAACTCTATTTCGACACTATGAAAAACACTCCACTTAGTTCCCCAAATACCACAGAAGCTGTCTGAGTCTGCCATCCATTCAATATTTCTCAGCATGTCTCCTACAAAGGCCTCAGAGACTCTGAGTAAAATTTCTGAGTAACCATCAGTCCTAGATAAGGAACCAGATTTTCTCCTACTTGTTATATACTCCTTACATTAAAAAGTTTTAATCTTTATCACCAAAGGCTCATTAAACACTACCACAGACTGAAGACTTCAATAAATTTGTCTTCTGTTCTATTAAACAAAAACTTCAGGTAAGTCTGTATAATATTGACTTCATAGAAAATATGTTTCAAAACTGGGCACAGCAGTAGACTCCTGTGGTCCCACTATGTGGGAGGCTGACGTGAAGGGATTGCTTGCAGCTAGGAGTTCAAGGCCATAGTGCACAATAATCACACCTTTGAACAGCCACTGCACTCTAGCCTGAGCAAAATAGCAAGACCTGCCTCTAAAAAACATTTAAAAATATGCAGCCATAAAAAAAGAATGAGTTTGTGTCCTCTGCAGAGACATGGATGAAGCTGAAAGCCATCATTCTCAGCAAACTAACACAGGAACAGAAAACCAAACACCGCATATTCTCACTCATTAAGTTGGAGTTGAACAGTGAGAACACATGGACACAGGGAGGTGAACATAATACACCAGGACCTGTTGGGGATTGAGGGGCAAGGAGAGGAAAAACATTAGGACAAATACCTAATGCTTAAAACCTAGATGGTGAGTTG